GTTGTGTTTATCTTTTATCATTTACAATATTATAATTATAAATATAATTTTTTTTATTCGTCATTAGAAATGAATAATTATACTTTTTTCTTTTAATATATTTTATATACTTAAAATATGATTATTATCGCAAGCTGGTGATGTTCTTAATATGTATGGCTATTGATGTTTAATTAAATTTATAATATTTAAATTAAAATTAATTTTGAGATGCGATCAAAGTCACGTAAGATAATGTGTGCAATATTAATGACGTATTTTTTTCGATTAATGTTGGATTATTTTATTTTTATATCTCAATAATCATCGTCTAAGATAATCGGTCATAAAGGAAGAAAATAAATAAAATATATATGTTACTTTTCTAATTAATAGAATATTAATAATAGAATATTTTAATACATATTTAGATAGAATCTTAAATCTAAATTTACTATAGAATATTTTTGATAAAAACCTAGAAAACTATTTTTATTAAATTTTTCTCTGTTTTAATCTATTATGTTGAACATGGTATATCTATGTGTTATTTCATATTCATTATTCCGACATGAATTACAATATTACGTCCTTTACTTTCTTAATGTTGCCACGCGGCTTGTTGAAACGTTATCTCTTTAACGTACTATTGACAAGAGAATTAGTACGATAGATATTAACCACGTAATAACCCCGACCGTTATCTGTCTCTTTTTTTCAGGAAAGACTCGCACAAAAGACAAATACCGAGTGGTCTATACGGACTATCAAAGACTAGAATTGGAAAAAGAATTTCATATGAATCACTATACCACGATCAAACGTAAAGCAGATCTGGCTGCTCAGCTTGGTCTCACGGAACGTCAGGTAAGTCACGTTTGTTTATTTCATTGAAAATTCTCAAATCGTACCACCGTCGAGATGATCGCCAAAGGGATGATCGTCGTCTCTCTCTCTCTCTCTCTCTCTGCAGATAAAGATCTGGTTTCAAAATCGACGGGCGAAGGAGCGAAAGCTGATGAAAAGCAGCAGGAGCAAATAAGAGAGCGGCAGATGCGAGCGCAAGAGGCCGCGGTGGCGGCCGCGGCGGCTGGTTCCACGGTGGAGGCGGTGGCTGGAGGAATGATGGGCTATGCCTCCGCCGGAGCGGAGATGGGTGGGATGCTGGGCGGTCTGATGCAGACCAACGAGAACACCTCCTCCGCACCTCTCCCGGCACCGTCGACGTCGTCGTCGCTGCCTACATCGACGTCTCTGCCTACGTTGCCGACGACTCTCCCTACGTCTATGCCCGCGTCGCAACCTACATCGCAGCCCGCGTCGCTGCCCACGACCCTGCCTATGCAATATCCGGGTCATTCCAATCCGATGTGAAGGATCCGCGTGCCGAGGATCTGGACTACCCGAAAGCCGGGTTCGAAACGCCGGCTCGTCACTCACGAGGTAGGATGACGGATAGATAGGGGGGGAGGGGGGGAAGGAGGTAGGGGGTGGAAGCGGACTAGCGAGATGTTTCACCATCTGTCGCTTCGAGACACAACGTACAAAGAATTCGCGAACGAACGGACGCGCGAACGAACGCCGCGTAAGATAATTGTAAAATACGTAAGGTAATTAAACGTAGCTCGCACATGATATACACAACGGCCTGTGATAAACGACCGTTGGATAAACGGATCGTTCGTGGATTACAAACCGTGGAAGACATTTTGATCTCATTTTCATCGGCTTCACGTCCACGGCGATCCCCGTTAATATGACGGTCGTGCTTCGATATTTTACGTTCTACGCTCGGCACCGTTAATTCCGCCAAAGGCTAAGCCGGAAGTGAATGTCGAATGTATAGACTGCATGGATACCTCCATACATATGGCACTTTCGAATACAAAACCTAAAAGTGTATTGCAAATTTAGATATTCATGCAGCCTATTATGTAATCGTGTTTCGCTGTACCTGGATATTAGGGGGGATTGAGGGAAATTAAAAATAGTTTTAACGAGTTAAAAATAAAGAGTTTGACTTTCCTGATAATAGGGAGATCTGACTGTATACGCGGATCGAGAATTACGTGCATAGTCTCACGTTAGCTTTAAGACAGGGATGATGATATCCGAAAATAATCGAGTTATTCAAACAAACGTAGTAATTCTTTGAATACAAACGCAAATAAAGATTTTTTTACTATACAGAGAAAAACACACCATGATGTTGCACGAATTTATCATCCTCATATCAATCGCAAAGATAACATTGTAAATTAACTGCATCAAATGCAGTCGTAAATTTTACTTGCTTTTACTGTTTTAATTCTTATTAGAATTACACGCACGTTATTTTATATATATAAAAATATATATGAAATATATATTATTATACATATATATAAGATGTTTAATAATGATTGTGAAAACATCGTTTGTATGCAGATAGAATGAGTTATGCTGGAAAATCCTCCATTTTGCGATTTTCTTGCAATAATCTTGTATCAATAATTATCAAATAATTATTATTTATACTTCATATAAATAATAGAAATGAAAAATTCACAACTGAAGAGTTAATTGCATTTGGATCAATTTGATCAAAAAAGTTAAAGTCGAACGTTGGATACTCGAAAATTTTGGATATCGTTCGTACATCACTAGTCAATGTAATTTATGGTGCGATAAATGTAAAATGCAAGGTATTATGCATTACATACATAGATGCAACGAAATGTGCACCTAAAAAGTGGAAATTGTAAATAAAAATTTCGCATGACATCACACAAATTGCTCTTTCTCCTATTTGTTGTGATTGATTGTTAATTTTTCTGTATCGACATTATCCCGCGTGTTTAAAAGCACAAGTGTTATATATTTTCACGACGCGTGCCTTTTTTTAGTTTTTTTTTTTCTTTAATTGTATTTGGTTTAGTTTAATCTTTTCTTCAGAGACCGGCAAATATTATGTCGATCTATTGCAATCGCATGCAATTTATTGTCTTGAGTACCTACACTTAATCGTCTAAAAATTTATAAATAAGTATTCAATTTTAATTATAACGTTTACAAATGCGGAAAAAATAATAGTCATTAATACTGCTTGCGCGTGACGATCGGGTTGCCACGATTTTAGGCGTACTCGTGAATAAAGTAAAATTTGTATTACTCTTGTAAATATACTAATATTGTAAATACAAATATTTAAATATATTTAATTAAATGAAATTAGAAAAAAGATATGTGCCTTAATATAGATCAAGTACTGGATAATGTCGATATAAGGATAATCAGTTTTAATTAGATACCTTCGTATAATAGCATGATATAATAGTGTTATGTTTGTTAACAATAAAGCGAATATTGCTTGAATATTACGATAATGTCCGCGAAATCTATATTTTCCCTACATTCTTTGTATATTTCTTATAGTGAAGATTTACACAACAAAATTACTTCGATACTGTCTTTATTGTAAAATTAGCAACTAATACTGTTATATTGTTTTATAACATGAAAGAAATACCGATGTATTTAAATCTTCGATATAACGGCCGATAATTAAATATATAGTTAAAAATAAATTCCATCCATTATAATCTTTCATATCTATAAAAAACGTTTTTTTATTGCTGCCATCCAAAAATTCTCCAATCTTTTTATAATAACATGTTTTACAATACTGTTATAACAGTGTTGTTTCCTTTATAGACAAAAGTATCCAAAATTTTTAATCAATTTGGTAATATAAAATAATATTGTTAAAATAAAATTTATGAGAATGTGGCTTGTCTCTGCTGAATATTCTCTGTAACAATGACACGTATTGTAATAATAAGTTCAGACAGCCAGGTATATCGATAAAATTATCTAATTTTCAATTTTCCGAGATATCAATTTTCGGTAAATTCTATACACATCATCTACTTCTGGGCTGAACCATATACATATAAACATACGCCATTTTATACAGTAAAAACATTGCTTCATAATAAAGAAAAAAATTGACTCACCATTTAATCGTCGTCGTTGTTCCTATGTAACAATTACCAATCATACGCTCTTACCCGAATGACACAAAGCGCGATAGACGTTGATCTGATCTTTTTCTTTTTTTTTTTTTTTCTATATTCATACACACATGCGTGATGACTCAAAATCACCGAAATTGTCTTATGGAAAAATTCAAAATATAGTTCAAACGTAATCATCATGGCGGACGCAGGAATGCTGGCCGTTATTCCCAATATCATTAGCACCCACTAATATTTGTTTCCAACAATTCTTTTCGTCCATATTCCCGATTCTCGAAACTTGTTTAATATTTATGTGTAAATAAGGAAATATCTCGTCCGTAAACTATGACGTGGACGAAGGCCGAGACGACGCGACATTCGACGATAACCGATTAGCGTCTCTCAAGGATTTTGATGGTTGCATTTGTGCGAGACGATTAGCATACGCATCTCGATGCACATTATCGCTCATCCGAGTCTGCGACGCAAATCCGCATGCGGAATATAAATCGCGTACGCTGAAAGTCGCGGAAATATCTCGGAAACGTGCGAGTGGGCTGAAAACTGGGGCTTCGAAACTGGAATATGACACGAATCGCGCTTGCCTTCGCTCTGTTCCGCGATTGAAAAATCTCCCTGCGTCTTATTAAATTAATTTAATGGATTATACCGAGAGCAAGGACAGAAGGCGAGAAATTCTTCCGCGATCAGCTGCGAAGACAGCTAAGAGAAAAGAAAGAAGAATACGAGAATGTGTTCAAATGATACGTATTTATTGCTTCACGGTCGATATTACATTGATTGCTTGATATTGATCTTTAAATGTTCGAAATGGAAACGCTACATAGAAAGAAGCTGAAGAAAACATCGCGAAAATTCTCTGAAACATTTGCTCTTGATTGTATAAATTTCTAGTTTTAAATAATACGTTGCCAGATTTTTCAACTTGATATAATCTGGAATATCTATCCCATATCTCTTAAAATCATTCGAATTGGAGAGTCTCGTTTATTTCTCATCTCTTAATACCGCTAATTTAGTTCGGAAGTGACTACTGTAGATAGTAGAAGATTTATAGAATAATCAAAGACTAAAGCGATCGATCGCGATTCGAAACGACTGATTATCATAGAGATAGCTTCATACATTTGATATGTTCGAATATGATCACTTCGCAGGCGAATAAATTACAGATTCAGATATTACAATCTAGAGCAAAAAAATAGCGCATTGAATAATTTTCTAAACTTTTTCAAATGTATTTGCTAAAAGTGTGATACGTGCGCTGTAGATATCCTTGAATAATTTCTTGCGGATTGATTCTAACAATTTTATGATGTGAACTTTCGTAATCCGCGCATCTTTTACAAATGTTACGAAGATTATGATTCGTTCTGTAATGCATCTCTTAATCGTCATAATGATCGTTAATTGGGCGGCGATTACGAAATGCATTTTTCTTTTTAAATATTAATTTTATAAAAAAACAATTTTAATTTTATAATATTCATTCATATTATTAAAAATTAATTTTTTTTAATTTTTACAGCTGGTAAAAATTATCCGTTTGGGAAGGATTAATAAATATTTCTTCAAGCATTTTTCATAAAAACTCTCTTTTTTTTTTTTTTTTTAATATAAAGAAATATGTTTCCATAAAAATAACGCAATAATCAACGCATGCATTAAATTTATTATTTCAATAATAATAATAACATAATTGACATGGAGCAACGGTAAAAGTATTTTGTTGATCGTTTTTTTTTTCCCCATATTGTGAAAGGATGCGACCGAAGTTGGTCAATCCAATTCACACTGCCAGTCTAATCCCGATTTAGGAATCACGAGGTGCGAAGCGGATTGTGTCCCCTTGGCAATTGCTTGTCGCTTTGCTGGATGGAGCTGTCCGCCGCCGCCGTCGTGTCGTGGCACGAACGACTCTCGTTAGATCTCGCGTAAACAGAAACGTAAAAACGCGTAATGCGCTTTATGCGAACACGCGAATTATCATCCCGTCCCCGAATCGTACCCTATCCACGCATACCGCGAGCGTAGACGAAGGTGGCAACGAGTCCCGCGGGGGCAGTGAAGTTAACTACCAGATCGATGTCCGACCCCAGTCCATCCTGTCCCCCTCTTACCCCCCCCCCTCCTCCTCCCTCCCCCTCCCTAAAACCAAACCCCCAGCATTTCAACGCAATCGAGCTGGTCTGTCGCGGCGAATCGAGAACTTTGTACGGTTTATGCGACACACAATTCGAGTCGATGATTTCTTCCCGACGACGAGATGCCTCTCAAGCTTAACGGTAAACGCAAATCGTCTAATGGTTATTCGCAATCATGATCGTTTCGCATTTGTCATGAACAGTCGATGAA